TGGGATACACATTTACCAAAGGCCACCTGGTTGGTCAACACCAGAGGATCTGCCAACAGGGCTGGCCCAGCCCAGTCAGAACTTTTACATATTGTAGAGGGGGACAAAGTTCCCGTGGTGCATATGAAGAATTTGCTGGGGAAGACAGTCTGGGTTATTCCTGCTTCAGGTAAAGGCAAACCCACTCGTGGGATTGCTTTTGCTCAGGGACCTGGATATACTTGGTGGGTAATGTGGGAAGATGGGGAAGTCCGATGTATACCTCAAGGGGATTTGATTTTAGGGGAAAACAGCCAGTGAACTCAATTGTATGCTGTTGCCTGCTGTGTAATGCTTTTATAGCCCATCAACTAGATGTCTCCAGGTCACCAGCGACTGGCCCTGACTTTCCTCCAGCCATCATCCCAACAGAGAATGAACTTGGAACATCATGGACCGAATGGACTCGGCAGCATTATAGGGATTGGTCCATGCACTAAGAAAATGATTTTTTTTTCCTCTTGGTCTGTATGTATATGGATGTATATATGTGGGAGAGCGATGGTGTATTGAAAATGTGGGATCTGAGCACGACGTGAATGGTATGGAATAAGGGGTGGATAATGTCCTGGGTTCAGCAGTAGCAGTCATGTTTTTTCCTTTGTGTTAACTGGTGCAGTGCTGTGTTTTGACTTCTAGTTTGAGAACAGTGTTGGTGAAGCCGATGTTGTCGGTTGTTGCTAAGTGATGTTTACCCTGACCAAGGACTTTGTGAGGCTCATGCTCTGCCAGGGAGGAGGGGAAGCTGTGAGGAAGCAGAGACGGGGCGCCTGACCCGGGCTAGCCGGGGAGGTATTCCATACCACAGCACGTCATGCCCGGGGTGGGGGGTAACTGGGAGTTACCCGGAAGGACAGGGGCTTCCGGGTGGAACTCGTTTTCTTGGCCGGTGGTATCGTATTCTCTTCCCTTGTTATTTTCCCTTATCATTGTTTTAGCTGATATTAGCGGTGGTGATTTGTTGCTGGACTGTTCTTGTCTCAACCCGTAGGAGTTGCACTCTCTCGATCCTCCTCCCCGTTCCTCCGGGAGCGGGGAAGGGGAGAGCCCCGGTGCAGGGGGGGGGGGGGGGAGACGGACACGGACCTTGATTGTTGTCAGCTCGGCACCACTCACTGGGAGTGAGTGAACAAGTTACCTGACTGGGTTTAAACCACGACAATTAGTGATAATTTTCTTTTTAAGTATATTAGAGGGATGATGAAGCACTCCATGAGCTTGACTGTTCTCTTGTCCTGTGTATCTTAGTGCTGGTGAATGTCAGCATAAGGCTGTGCTTTCCTGATCTGGTGTTACAGGACCTGAGCAATGCAGCACTATGTAGAAGTTCAAAGTCCTTTCCAAGGAACAGCATTAAAAATAATGTTTCTCCACAAGTTTGTCTCTTTTTCTTCCTTTTTTTATTTTATACTTTTATTGCTGTTGTATTAGAAGAAAAACACTAGAGGTAAATATACCTCTAAAAAGACCATGGGAGGAAAGCTGCTTAGGAGAGTTGCTGTTACTTTCTCTTCTTGTAGTAGCAGGAATTAGTAGAGCACATAACAGACTGAGCAGCACGCTGTTAGTTGAGGCACTGTGAATGATGATTGCTTAAGGAGGCAGGATGGTGATTTTGAATGTATTTATTAGCATTTTGTAAAATAAGTGTATCAGGTTCTGTTTGGAAGCTGATGGATTCAGTAGTTATAGCACTGTAAGATGCCCTACTGGTAGGAACCTCATAGTAGATGCTGTAGCCCTGTCTAAGATTGAATGGCTTTTCTACGCAGAAATGCCACTTAACCCATATCAAGACTTGGCTCTCCCTGTCTGCTGCAGACCTTCACCATAGCAAAAAGTAGGATAAGCAATCTAACTTAAATGTGCAGTTACTTGTCTATATCTTAATTTTTTTGATTGTTTGGGGTTTTTGGTTGGTTGTTTTTTTGGGTGGGTTTTGGTGTGTTTTTTTTTGTTGTTGTTTTGTTTGGTATTTTTTTTTTTTTGTGATTAATGTGGGATAGTAAATTGGGTAATGAAGGCACAAGAGAGCATAATCAGTTGCAGGTAAATTTCCTGTACTGATATCATTCGCTTCCATGTAGCATAGTTGGAAGGAGTGAGTGTAAAAATAAACTCTAAAACACTTGGAAAAGCTTTTTAAGTGACTTTCCTCTGGGAAGCTGGTGCTCTGAGGTTATTAGTTCTCCATCATAAATAGTATTTTAACAGGTGAATGAGACAGGAGACAATTTAACGATAAGTTTAGGATAACACCAATGCAGGACTTTTTACTGGCAAACAGCTAGATAAAAGATCTGTGTGCAGGCAAATCTCTGAAAGTTATTGGGTAGTTGAACTAGAGCTACATTAATGCTTTATTTGGAGATAGAAACGGCTCTTAATAGCCTGTAAATAAGCATCTCTATGATGAAAAGTTGCTTAATAATGCTGGAAGAAGTGTATTTTCTGCAAGGTGGAGTCAGTAACTGAATTCCATCTAGCACCAGTTATAAAGCTTCTAGATCAGTTCCCTGTTTCCCTGGTATTAGGCTGGGCTGATTTTTTTTACATACGTACTTCATTCTTAGTCCTGCTTAAACTCCTGTATCTCATATCTCTGGTTCTGGAATAATACAAAACCCAGCAACCCAGGTTGGTTACACCGTAGGCAAAACATAGAGAGCATATGCAGCAACAAGCTGGTCCACAGCAAAAGGAATAGGGTGCTTTCAGAGGGATTGAAAGGATATTCAGGATCTTTAACTCCTCCAGAATCTACTCCCACTGTAAATAGCCTGGTGGGGGAGCAGAGGGTGTGAGGAAATACCTTCTCCATAGGTTGACACCCCAAGGAAAGGAAAAAGAAAGATGTGTAATTGCAAAAAAAACACCGTTATATGTTTCCGAAAGTATAGAGAAGATGACCACACTGGGAACGCATTCCAGAGCAGTTTCATGATCAGTGAGTCTTTACCATAAAGTACAGTGAAACAAGGTCCCCCAGCCGATAAACGGCTAAAACAGCAAATACCAACTCTAAGTAAGGTACAACATGCTGAAACTCCGAGATCAAGAGCAACAACTTTGAGAGCCAATAAATCAGCATTGTGATGAGTGACTTTTAATCCAAAACAATGAATGCTTATCACAAATATGATTAGATGCACTCCAGTCAGATCTGCTGTTATCTCAACCCTTCGAGCCCCATGTTGGGCGCCACAAAGAACTGTCATGGTTTAAGCCCAGCTGGTAACTCAGAACCATGCAGTCGCTTGCTCACTCCCCCATCCCCTTCTTCCTCCCCCCGCTCCCGAAGGGTTGGGGAGGAGAATCGAAAGAATGTAACTCCCATGGGTTGAGATAAGAGCAGTCTAGTAACTAAGGTATCATACAAAACCACTACTGCTACCACCAATATTAATAATAAGGGAAATAACAAGGGAAGAGAATACAACCATTCACCACCTGCTAAACGATACCCAGCCCAACCCTAGCAGCGATCTAGCCCTTCTGGGTAACTCCCCCCAGTTTATATACTGGGCATGATGTGCTGTGATATGGAATACCCCTTTGGCTAGTTTGGGTCAGGTGTCCTGTCTCTGCTTCCTCCCGGCTTCCCCTCCTCCCTGGCAGAGCATGAGACTCAGAAAGTCCTTGGTTGGAGTAAACATTACTTGGCAACAAATAAAAACATCGGTGTTATCAGCATTGTTTCCAGGCTGCAAGTCAAAACCACAGCACTGCAGCAGCTACTAAGACTGAGAAAAATGACTGCTACTGCTGAACCCAGGACAGTCTCAGTTCTTGCATTTTACCATTACATTGAATTTGAGAACTCTCCAAACATTAATATCTTCTTTTTTTTTTTTTTTCAGGCAACTGACCCTTACTACTTAATTCAAAAAAAGATGTTTTTCTTCTGCAGCATGCAAAAATATATTGGTAGCATAATGTAAACTCCTCTAATTTAATAATTTCATTAATAGGGAAATAAAAGTTAATATTATGGAAATGGTAAACAGGGAGCCATGTTAGTATTTTGCTTTAAAATTGTTTGTGCAAGCATGCAGAGTTCGATTTAATGCATCTATATGTCAAGTAACTGGAAAACCTATGAAGTAACTTTGGTTTATCATTTATAGTGTTTAGTAAAATCTGCATATAATACAACTACAGCTGGGTAAACTTACTAACCACCTCTTGTGCTCATTTATTTTAAAAATAGTGAAAATAGCACATTTTGCCCCAGCAATACTGTTGTTTATCAAACAGGCTTTCTTAAAAGGCAAAAGGAGAGGTAGCAAATCATTTTGTAATGCACTGGTTATTGATGACTGGATTATCATGAGAAGAAGTGAAATAGAAAATAAGTGCAAGTTTGGGAAAATTACTTAGTCCATCCTGCTGATAAGATGCCTGGAGTCACTCAATCCAGATCTCTAATATACCTGCTTCTTGACTCTCCCTTTTATCCTCTGTTACGTTTTGTCAGTTGTCAGTGTAATTTGTGTTTGACCTGCAAAGTAGTCTTATCTAAACCTGAAAAACTACTTGTTTAAAATTGAAGTTAAAGTTTGGTCATGTTTCAGAATTAACTACAATTGACTGCAAATCTGCATTCAAAATTATTTTACTGAGTTTCTTTTTTTTTTTTATTTACTTTGAAACTGGGGAGTCAGTATGAAAGTGGAAATTTCAGTAGACATGCATTAAATTCTCTCCCTAGTAGATGCATTTATTTCTATTTCTTTACTTTCACTTTTATCAGGAGAATCAATGTTTCCTGTTGGTAACTCTTTAAGTAGAGGGGTAGGAAAAGTGAGATGGGAAGAATATGCTTTCCTAGTTTTCTGCCACCTCATCCTGTGAGCAATCTGCCCTTGGGAATTGAGTGTACATTTGTGGAAGAAGTCTCCTATGTTAAGCTATTGGTGGTACACTCTGGGTTTACTGTTGTCAGCTTGCTGTGGATTTAGTGTAGTTGTGGAGCTGTTCTAAATGCTGATTCTAATTGCAGTACCTTGGTTGTAAAGCAGAAATTGCCAGGTGTCTATGTGCAGCCATCTTACCAATCAGCATTAAGTAAGTTTAAACTCAACTTTAAAATTTTTATTTATATGTATTTTTAAATTCTTTCACTCAAGCAAACTTTCTCATTTGCAGTGTGGTTTGGTGTAATATTCATAAGACATGGGCCCTACCAGGATGGTGTGTTTAAATTTACTATCTAAATTCCTGATAATTACCCAGATGGAGACTGTCCGGTAAGTGGTTGTGTGTGTCTTGAGTTTTTTCTTGTTTCCTAGTGTTTTAAGGATGACTTCTTGTTAAAGCTAGTGGACCAGTTAGTGTCTCATTTCCTTGTGATGCGCGGATTGACTCCACAACTCGTTAAAGTTATAAAGTAGGTATGCTTTTTATTCAGCGCTGAGACGCACGGGGATAATTCCTCAAAGTCATGCGTGCCTCAGTGTTGTTTCCCTCTACATTTATTCTCTAAAGTTATATATATTCATAAGGTTGCACAACACGCCTATACATATTCATGTCCTATCCCCGCTTCGTATTATAATGAGCCAGAAGGTCCTCTGCACCTGTGCAGTGCCCCCTCTGGTCATGGGCAGGGGTCTCAAGATGAAGTAAATGACTCTTCCTCCTGTGGGTAGGGGTCTCAAGATGAAGTAAATGAGTCTTCCTCTTCTTGCACTTTTCACCTTTTAATCTTCATGTATGGCCTTAGGGTTTGGTCGGTATCCCAGCCATAAACCATCTGCTTCTCCCCCTTATCAGTAGATTCAGGCATCTGCTTTTCTTTATCAATAGAACCAAGTGTCTGCTTTTCCTTATCAATAGGACCAGGTGTCTTTGTTTTGCTTAGCAGGCATTTACAACAGACAATACTTTTGTTTAAGCAAGCAAATTCCTCTAACCCCCCTGTACAACCCCCTTGTACAACCCCCCTGTACATTGGTCAACTCTCTGCATCACTTGAACTTTTTTTTTTTTTCAGTTGGTTGGGCTCATTTGCAGTATCTTGTACATATTTCCTAACATCTGTGGAGGAATCATGTTACTCTGATTACTGAGCCTGGTGTAGAGTGAACTTCCTGAGGTTAGGTACATTAGAGTATTAAGTAATCAACTGGTTCTTTACCTCAGCTCTTGAGCTGCTAATTTCTCAGCAAGGAAGTTAAGGTTGAAACACTGAATGAAGTATCCAAATTCTGAGTAGCAATACAGTGGAACATAAAATCCAGGCACCTCTGCTGTGCTTGCTGTAGTACTGCAGGATTTCTTGCCTGTCTTGCTTCTAAATTACATTAAAACAAAGAACTAAAAGAACTTGAGGAGAGCATTGGTGAAACAAAGAAAGGAGGAGATGGACAGCATGGTGTTACCTTCCATCTCTGCTTTCTCTTTTTCTCTATGAGTAAAAGTATCCAAGTTCCTACATCAATTAAAAATAAAAATGAAAAAATCTTGTGGCAGTCTGACTCTCCAGAGCAGAGCAGCTGGCCCTTTTGGCCAGATTTCTTTAAGAGGAAGATTAGGGGTGCATAGGTGCTGTAGCTGAGAACAAGTGGCTATGTTGGGAAGCTGTCTGCTTGGTGTCAAGTTCTGTGTAAAGCTATCATCTTTAATATATTGGACAGAAGTAGTAGGAAACAGTATCTTTCAAAGATTAGACTTCAGTGTGTCTCATACAGCCATCATTCTTTTGCTAGCATAGGGCTTTCAAACCTTCCTGCCGAAACTAAGTTCTTTTGGAGGAATGCACAAACACTGGAGGAAACTAGCTGTACAGAACTGAAGACACTGTGGTGTTACTGCACAGCTTGCTTAAAAATGCATAGGATGGCAAAAGTATTGATTGTAGCTCAAGTATGTGAAAAGCTTTCAGTCAAATAGCTAAACCAGGGAAACTCCTTTGATCTGATCTTCTATTATTACCTGTGTTGGTACTGCATGTGCAGTTAGCTGGATTAGTTTTCTGATTTGGTGATAAGTATGTGAGAGAGGACCAGACCCTCCATGGGTGTGTTGGATTACAGTTTCACAGCTGATATAAATCACTTCAGGTTGCTTTATTTTAAAATTAATTAGTATTTGGAAGCAACATCTGACTGACTTTCACTTGGTGGTTTTAGCATTAGGATTAAAGCTGTCACAATGAATTTCTTTTTTCCAATGCAGTGCTTGGTTTTTGATCTGCCTGTCTTCCATCTGCTAGTAGATCCTTTATCTGGTGAACTGAATGTGAAAAGAGCATTTGCGAAATGGAGTTTAGTGGTTACATTGATTTATGATTTGAAAAACGTTTGTTCCTTTCTTCATTGTGTTTTGTTCTTTCTAGGCGAAATCATAATCGCATATGGCAAGTATTAATGTATGCTCGCAGAGTCTTCTACAAGATTGATACAACTACTCCTCTGAACCCTGAGGCTGCAGTGCTGTAAGTATCTTCTATGTGTATAGACATGGTCTCTTAGGAGTTTTTTGCATAGACTTGCAGAAACAAGAGGATTGTAAAACTGTTTACCAGTTCACAGTCTTTATGTCCAGAGTTGGTTGCACTAGGAACTAAAGTTGAGGCTTTGCCAAGTCTTCTAGAGCAAACCTGTGCTGCCTTGCAACTACTTAACATTACTTACTGCCCCCTTGCAGGTATGAAAAAGATATTCAGCTATTCAAAAGTAAAGTGGTGGACAGTGTCAAGCTATGCAGCAGTCATTTATTTAATCAGGCCAAAATAGAGGATCCTTATGCAATCATGTAAGTACCATGAGCAAATTCACCATGTCCTAATGTTTTGAGAACAGTTTTTGAGATGGTTGTTGGTTTGAACCCTTTCTCTTCCAAGTTGATTAACCAGTGTTTTTTTTTACTTAAAGTATTGCTATAAATGTATTCCTACCCACATTTCTTTCTGGTTAGTATTGAATGAATCTTAAATATAATCAGACACTTGTTTTTACTGTTTTCACTAAGCAACCAAGATTTAAAAACATCTCCCCCCCCAAAACAAAACAAAACAAAAACCAAACCCAAACCACAAGTACCCCATCTTGCTAAAAAGATACCCATGGAATAAATACAGCTTTTGGGCTTTCTTGAACTCCATTTGCATGACTGTAGCTTTGGTCATACTTTTAAATACTTTAAAGTTTGACTGTATGGAGGATGGGGCAGTCAGCTCCATGGTGAATGAGTAGTATTTGATGCAGTGATGTGCGGATTGACTCCACAACTCGTTAAAGTTGTAAAGTAGGTATGCTTTTTATTCAGCGCTGAGACACACGGGGATAATTCCTCAAAGTCATGCGTGCCTCAGTGTTGTTTCCCTCTACATTTATTCTCTAAAGTTATATATATTCATAAGGTTGCACAACACGCCTATATCCATGTCCTATCCCCGCTTCGTATTATAATGAGCCAGAAGGTCCTCTGCACCTGTGCAGTGCCCCCTCTGGTCATGGGCAGGGGTCTCAAGATGAAGTAACTGAGTCTTCCTCCTGTGGGTAGGTGTCTTCAAGATGAAGTAAATGAGTCTTCCTCTTCTTGCACTTTTCACCTTTCAGTCTTCACATATGGCCTTAGGGTTTGGTCGGTATCCCAGCCATAAACCATCTGCTTCTCCCCCTTATCAGTAGATTCAGGCATCTGCATTTCCTTATCAATAGCTGCTTATCAATAGGACCAAGTGTCTGCTTTTCCTTATCAATAGGACTAGGTGCCTTTGTTCTGCTTAGCAGGCATTCACAACAGGCAATACTTTTGTTTAAGCAAGCAAATTCCTCTAACCCCCTTGTACAACCCCCCTGTACATTGGTCAACTCTCTGCATCAGCAGCACCTGTTGAATTGCTAGTCCTGTTGAATTGCTTTGGGACTTTCTTCTCATTCCAAACTTTTTGAAGCAGCACAAGCAGAGTACCTTGCTCACATCTCTAACACTACTGATTTCTAATATGACATCAGGGAACTGAAGGGTGCTTAGAGTGGCTTCTATCACAAAGCACTTGTACTGATATGGCAAGAATGTGTTGGTTCAAATAGATTTCACCTGAGCAACACCTTTGGTTTTGGGGGAGGGGAGTGTTTGGTGGTTTAGACTTGTTTGGGTTTTTTTCTTTGTTTTTGGGGGGTTTTGTTTGTTTTGGGGGTTTGGGGGGGGTGTTGTTGTTTGTTTGGTTTTGTTTTGTTTAGTTATTTCTTTGTGCTTGATGAGCCAGAACACAGTAATTCTGAGTCTGCACTGAGTGGCATGACAGGTCAATCAGATTGTCAATCCTAGGGACTCTGAAATGGTAGCTGATATGTTTGCTGGGCTGGCAAGGAAATGCTCTCAATGTTTTAGTTGCTGACTTGGGCTCCTTGCATTAGAACTGTAGGGTGGTTTGCTGCTTCTTTTATAATTAAAAGAAGTAATAATCTTTATTTTCATCAGTCCAAATGATGCAGAGGGTTGACCAATGTACAGGGGGGGTGTACAGGGGGGTTATACAAGGGGGTTAGAGGAATTTGCTTGCTTAAACAAAAGTATTGTCTGTTGTAAATGCCTACCAAGCAAAACAAGGACACCTGGTTCTATTGACAAGGAAAAGCAGGTGCCTGATTCTACTGATAAGCAGCTATTGATAAGGAAAAGCAGATGCCTGAATCTACTGATAAGGGGGAGAAGCAGATGGTTTATGGCTGGGACACCAACCAAACCCTAAACCCATATATGAAGACTTGAAAGGTGAAAAGTTCAAGAAGAGGAAGACTCATTTACTTCATCTTGAAGACCCCTACCTGATACGCAGACTGACTCCATAACTCGTTAAAGTTGTAAAGTAGGTATGCTTTTTATTCAGTGCTGAGACACACGGGGTTAATTCCTCAAAGTCATGGGTACCTCAGTGTTGTTTCCCTCTACATTTATTCTCTAAAGTTATATATATTCATGAGGTTGCACAATACGCCTATACATATTCATGTCCTATCCCACTTCCTAGAATAATGAGTTAGTAGGTCCTTTGCGCCTGCACAGTGCCCCCTCTGGTCATGGGCAGGGGTCTCAAGATGAAGTAAATGAGTCTTCCTCTTCTTGAACTTTTCACCTTTTAGTCTTTATGTATGGCCTTAGGGTTTGGTCAGTGTTGCAGCCATAAACCATCTGCTTCTCCCCCTTCAGGCATCTGCTTTTCCTTATCAATAGCTGCTTACCAGTAGAATCAGGTGTCTGCTTTTCCTTGTCAATAGAACCAGGTGTCTGCTTTTCCTTATCAATAGAGCCAGGTGTCTTTGTCCTCCTTAGTAGGCATTTACAAGAGACAATACTTTTGTCTAAGCAAGTGAATTCCTCTAACCCCCCTGTACATTGGTTAACCCTGTATCCATCCCCCCTTTTTCTACAAAGTTAGTAAATTCTTTTACTATATTATATATGACAGAGCTATCCATGTTCCTTCTACTGATTTATGAAGTGATTTCGATATACACTGTATTATGCAAGGTACAATTGATGCGCGGATTGACTCCACAACTCGTTAAAGTTGTAAAGTAGGTATGCTTTTTATTCAGTGCTGAGACGCACGGGGATAATTCCTCAAAGTCATGCGTGCCTCAGTGTTGTTTCCCTCTACATTTATAAGGTTGCACAACATGCCTATACATATTCATGTCCTATCCCCGCTTCGTATTATAATGAGCTAGAAGGTCCTCTGCACCTGCGCAGTGCCCCCTCTGGTCATGGGCAGGGGTCTCAAGATGAAGTAAATGAGTCTTCCTCTTCTTGCACTTTTCACCTTTTAGTCTTCATGTCTGGCCTTAGGGTTTGGTCGGTATCCCAGCCATAAACCATCTGCTTGTCCCCCTTATCAGTAGATTCAGGGGTCTGCTTTTCCTTATCAATAGCTGCTTATCAATAGAACCAAGTGTCTGCTTTTCCTTATCAATAGGACCAAGTGTCTGCTTTTCCTTATCAATAGGACCAGGTGTCTTTGTTCTGCTTAGCAGGCATTAACAACAGACAATACTTTTGTTTAAGCAAGCAAATTCCTCTAACCGGCTTGTACAACCCCCCCGTACAACCCCCTTATACAACTCCCCTGTACATTGGTCAACTCTCTGCATCAATCCCCCCTTTTTCTATAAAGTTAGTTAATTCTTTTACTATATTATTCATGACAGAGCTATCCATGTTCCTTCTATCTATTTATGAAGTTATTTTGATATACACTGTATTATACAAGGTACAATCATTAAAATGAGTAGTCCTATAGCCAAGATTAAAAGGCCTTGTTTCAGTATTTCCCTGAACCATCCAGTAACTCCTAAGTTATTTAGCCATTCATCCATTCCACCTCCAACAATTCTAAGCTCCTGCATATTTTCCTGCAATTTTCTCAACTTAGCATGAATTTGATTCAGAATGGTCAGATAAGTTCATGCAGCACATACTTTCGAAATCCCCACGATCATCCTATAACAATCTTTGTTACTTCCTAGGCTTGTGTGCTTCTAGTTGGAAAGGCTTCTGGCCAACCTGAAAAGGTGCATGTTAGTACCAACAAATGTCTATTATAACCCCTTTTTCTGTCCTTTTGAAAATTCTCCTGCAACATTTTATATACTGCCATTACCATCCAGAGTCTTTGAAATAGTTTCCCGTTTCTACTTGATATTTATATTTCATTTCTTTTTTCCAATCTTCATAATTTATCATAGATCATTTACAATTTCAGGAAGAAAATTTTGTTATACCACAAGTAATCAATATTAAAACAATTAATATTAATTAGGTATGAGTATTGGTCCCAAGCTGGTATGTCAGTTATCACATAAATCCAAATTATGACTGATACAATTTCATATGTGAAGGTCCTGAAGGTTCGATCCGCCATGTCTTCTCTGGTTCTGGTGCTTTCTTCGTTTTTGAAGAAAGGTTGTTCCATTATCTGGTACAGTCCGCTCCACTTCTCCTGTAGAGTATCTCCTGAAAAATTCTTAACCTAAACCCAGTCTCTGGATCTAAAAGGGTGAGTCGGATAATCCATGCCTCTCGCTCTTGTCCCCAGTAGTCTCTTATTTCCTCTAATTGCTTTCCCAGATTGATCAGAAACTCTAGGAGATAACCTTCTCCCACTTCCAGAAGACTTTCTCCTTTGAACTGGGACTGATATGGTCTTCCATATAAAATTTTACATGGGATAGCCTCTTCTTTCGACTGAGGTTTAGTTCAAATTCTTAATAGAGCCAGTGATAAAGCTTGGTATCAATATCTTGACATATTTTACTAATCTGTTGTTTGATCATCTTTTCTACTTGCCCGCTGGCCTGAGGTCTGTATGGAACATGTAGTTGCCAATCAAGCTCTAATTTTGGCTAATTTCTTGTAACTGTTTTGCACTAAAGGGCGAGCCTCAGTCAGAAGAAATTGCCTTTGGTACTTCCAAAACAAGGTATTATACTGTTTAACAATGTTCCAATTACTTGTCTTGCATTATTTATTCTACAAGGGAATGCTTCTGGACACCTTAAAAAAGTATTTGTTAACACTAACAAATATTGGTCTTGATAATTCAGAAAAATTTATGTGCCAGTGCTGTCAGTTGTACCAATTTGATTTCTACTTTCTTGAGACAGAGCTGATATTGTCACTAATTGAACTATGTTATATAGATTCCTTCCTTCAATTTGTTCATCTAAGTATTTATACAAAGACTTGCTACCTCAATGAGTTTTATTATGTTCCTCCTGAACTAGCGTCCAGAGTTGGTTAGGGGATTATAATTCTCCCATCAGGTATCTGAACCCAGTCTTCTTTGTTTTCCTCTCCTTTGAGATCTCCAATCAATTATTTACCCTCCTTTGAATATCTAGGTTTAGATTTCTCAATTGTTAGTTTGCTGTCAGGGATTAAGGGAATGAGTTTAGATTGTTAAAATCAGCCAAATTTCACCTTGTTGATATCCTTGACAGTACATAATAGCTACTTCTTCAGGTAGCTGAACAGCTTTCAGTAGTCATAGCATGTTTATTCTGTTTCTCCTGTGTGTTCAAAGGTTCCCGTTCTTTCCAGATGGCACCATGTGCATGGACCACACCAAATGCATATTTAGAATCAGTCCAAATATTTATCCTTTTGTCTTTAGCCAATTCCAGGGCACGTTCCAGGTTTCTTTCAAATCTGGTCGGCTTGAATATACAGTTATCCTGCCGCTTTGGGTATCGGCAAACATGCTGTTATTCTGCTCGTGTTTTTCATTTTTGCGAAATCCTCAGTCAGACCTATCGTTAAATTTTCCTCAGAATTTCAATGATATGATTGGATTATCTGTGCTGAATTTGCTGATCTTTTAGTCCTTTTTCCCGTAACTTCAAGTTCTCTGTGGCCAATTGCAGATTCAGTCCTATAGGACCATTTACCTTTTCCCAAACTACCTTTATTAGTGTTGGTCTTATCGGAATGGTTTCTGTGAACTTGCAGGTCAGAATGGCATCTTGTTTTAAGTTTTGTCACAACATTTTTCTGAGGAATTCCTAGGATAGGAACAGATGTCAGCTGTGTTAGTGACCAAATGACAATCAAAGTTTTGTAACAGAACCCAGACATCTTATTTACATTTCAGCTTTAGTCTTGTAGGGCCTAGTATCTGTGTTTCCCAAACCTTTGGAACTTTCTTTACTCATGTATAATGTATCCAAGAATCCACCCCTTCTACCTTTACTGCTGTAAATGTAGTTAGCAGTACTTGGTACAGTCCATCCCACCGTTCTTTTAATGGTTCTTCATTCCAGTTCCGGATGTATACTTGGTCTCCTGGTTGGATGTCATGTGCTGGATTTTGCAGGGACAGTGGCCTATTCCACGCCAGAGTGCTCCGCAGTCGAGCTAAGGTTCTACCGAGAGACAGCACATAATTATAAACATCCTGATTCCCTTTAATATGGGTATTAGGGTTGGGTTCCGGCACCTGGTATGGCTTTTCATAGAGGATCTCATAGGGGCTTACTGACATTTTGCTTCTGGGTTTTATTCTGATTCTTAGCAGAGCTATAGGCAATGCTTGTGGCCATTTTATTTTAGCCTCCTGACATATTTTACTGATCTGTTTCTTTATTGTTTGATTCATCTTTTCTACCTGTCCACTAGATTGGGGCCTCCAAGGAGTGTATTTGTCGGGCTGTCCGATCTGCCAATGTATTTCCTTCAGATATCTTTGAAGTTCCTCCTTGATGCGCCTTGCAATGCATGATGGCTACCTGTTTAGGTCTTTGCACAGCAATTATTAATTCTAAAATTTCCTTTTGATACTTTGTTAGTCCCTTGTGAGGATAAAAGTCGCCATTCTTTCCATAATGCTCCATGAATGTGTACCACACCAAATGCATATTTTGAGTCTGTCCATACATTTACCTTTTTGCCATTGCTCAGTTCCAATGCTCTCATGAGAGCTATTAATTCTGCCCGTTGGGCCGATGTTCCAGGAGGTAGTGCTTTGGCTTCGACTACCTCTTGTTGCGTTGTCACAGCATACCCTGCGTATCGTGTCCCGTTCTCCACAAAATTGCTTCCATCTGTGAAGAGCTCCCAGTCTGGTCGTTCAAGAGGTACATCCTTTAAGTCTGCTCTGGTTGCATATGTATGTTCGATGACTTCTATGCAGTCATGTTCAAGAGTTCCTTCTTCTAGGTCAGTTCCTAGAAAAGCTGCTGGGTTTAGCAGATTAGTAGTTCTTAAGTTTATATCATCCTGTTCCATTAGGATTGCCTGATATTTCATCATCCGGCTAGGGGACAACCAATGCCCCCCTTTTTGTTCTAGAACAGTGGTTACCATATGTGGCACAAACACATCGATGTGTTTTCCCAAAGTTAATTTCCTAGCTTCTTGGATCAAAATGACAGTTGCTGCTACTGCCCTCAAGCATGAGGGCCATCCTGCACTCACTGGATCCAGTTGTTTTAAGAAATATCCCACCGGTCTTTTCCAGTTTCCGAGTTTCTGAGTTAATACTCCCAATGCCAACCTCTGTCTTTCGTGGACAAACAATTGAAAATCTTTTGTCAAATCTGGGAGTCCAATGCCGGTGATTTTGTTAACGCCTCCTTCAGATTTTTGAAGGCCTCTTTCTGTGGTTTGTCCCAAATAAAGGCATGTGATTTTTGGGCTTCATACAGAGGTTTGGCAATAAGTCCATAGTCCATTATCCATAATCTGCACCACCCTGTCATGCCCAAAAATATTCTTAGTTCATGCAAGTTTCATGGTTCTGGGATGGCACAGATTGCCTCTATGCGATTTATTCCCAGTTTTCGCTGCCCTTGTGAAATTTCACATCCTAGATACAGCACAGTCATGCATGCAATTTGTGCCTTTCCTTTTGAGACTTTATAACCATTCAAGCCTAGCTGATTCAGAATTTCAATTGTCACCTTTATGCACAGGGACCTTTGTTCTGTTGCAATAAAAATGTCATCTACATATTGTAACAAAAGGTATTGTCATCTTGGTACCTGTATTTTTCCTTGGGTGGTCCATGCTTCCAATTCCTTGGCCAGTTGGTTTCCAAATAGGGTTGGACTGTTCTTGAATCCTTGTGGAAGTCTGGTCCATGTCAATTGTGTTTTCCATCCATTCTGTGGATTTTCCCATTCAAATGAAAACGGTTTCCTGCTAATTTTGTCAAGGGGAATGCAGAAGAAGGCATCCTTTAAATCAATTACTGTAAACCATTTATATTTTTCCTTCACAGATGTTAGCAATGTATAAGGGTTTGCCACCACTGGGTGGATGTCTTTTGTTATTTCATTTATTGCCCTCAAGTTTTGTACTAATCTATACTCACCGTTTGGTTTCTTTATTGGGAAAATTGGCGTGTTATATTCTGATTCACATTCTTCTAAAATTTGGTATTTTTAAAATTTCTCAATTGTCTTTATAATCCCATATCTTGCTTCTAGTTTTAATGGATATTGTTTAATCCTTACTGGTTTAGCTCCATCTTTTAATTCCACTACTATCGGCTGAGCTGCTTTTGATTTTCCCGGGATTTCAGTTTCCCAAACTGTCGGTATTACAGCCTGTTCCACTTCTTTTGGAATTTGTGGAATAGGTTTGTCTTTGTGAACTAAGATCTGTCCTGTTTTGGATTCAGGGATTTGCATTATCAATTTGCTGTTTTCAAAAGCAATTGTAGCATCCAATTTACTTAAGTCCCATCCCAATAGAGGAATGGGACATTCAGGCACATATAAAAATTCATGTGTCAATTCTTTAATTCTTTTCCTCTAAATCGTAAATCTAGGGGTTGTAAGAATGGCTGTACTTCTTCTTTCCCTGTGGCTCCCACAATTGTCGTAGTTTTCTTTCCTATTCTTCCGTGCAAATCATTTAAAACTGAATAAGTGGCCCCTGTATCTATTAAAAAATTTTACTTCTTCCTCTCCTAGTTGCGTTTTTACAAGGGGCTCCTTATTTTCTACTTGGCTTAGTCAGCTCTGATTATCAAATTCCCCCAACACCATTGATTTAGCTATGTCAGATCCTGCAAAAGGATTTCTTGGAGACATGAACTGCTTCCCCCCCGATGGACATTCATTTTTCCGATGTCCTTACTGCTTGCAAAGTGCACATTGATTATATCCTATTCTTTCTGTGCTCATTCCCATCCTTGGATTATAAAATCCTCTGCCTCGTCCCCGTCCTCACATATTTCCTTGTCCCCTTCCCCTAGGGTTAGGGAAACCTTGTTCTGTTCCCTGTATCACTGCCAGTAAATTTTGTTGTTGTCTCCAGGAGCTCTCTTTTTCCCAATTATTATACACCTTCCAAGCCACCTCTAACAGTCTGTCCAGGTTCCGCAAATCTGCCCCTTCTAGTTTTTGCAGTTTCTTTCTAATATCATCTTGAGACTGCCCCAGGAAAATCAAGGCTAATTGTGCTTTAGCCTGTTCCGTTTCTACATCTAAATCCGCATATTTCTTTGCTGTCTCTTTAAGTCTCTCTAGAAAGGCAGATGGTGATTCTGCCTTTTCTTGTCTAACATTATACAATTTTGACCAATTTATCATTTTGGGCATAGCATGTTGTACTCCGAAAACTACCCAGTCTTGATATCTCCGTAAATTTCTCATTCCTCCTTGTGTGTTACAATCCCACATCGGGTCTTCCATCGGGAAGTTTTGATCTATATTTCCCATTACTAATCCCTGTCTTATATCTTCCCGGACCCTCTTCCGAGCACTTCGCAGCACCATCTCTTTTTCTGTCGAGTCCATAAGGGTATCTAAAAGCACTTGTATATCATCCCAGTCCGGGTTTTGAGTTTTCATAATCATTTTCATTACTCGAGCTACTTTATCAGGATTTTCTCTATGTTCCTGCTGATTGTTTCCATATAACCAAATCCCCGGGAGAGAAAGGTACTTTAATGTACACTGGTCCCTCAGTTCCGACTCCGTGCCTTAAAGGAGCAAGCACCGCACTAGCTGCTTGAGGCTGTGCTTTTCCTTCTCGCCCTCCCCTCCGGCGAGTTCTGTGTGAGACTGGGGTGACAGAGGAATTTATTTCTTGACCTCCCCTATTTTCACACCCTTCCTCACTCTCAAGATCACTATCGCTTTCCTCCTGCTCCCCCCTTTACTGATTTGTCACTAGCAGAGCTACTAACAAACCGAGATCTTCCTCATCCTTTTGATGTCACCGACTATTCTCTAAGGCAAGGCATTTCACACATTCCTTTTCTCCAACACACCCCTTACACTCTTCAGCATTGCTTGCCTTAACAACCATTATTCCACAAGATTTCTGCCACTTATCATTGTTTCTTAAGGTAAAGAAAAGATCCACATATGGTACTTCATCCCATTTTCCTTCCCTTTTACAATACAACATCAACTGCAAGATAGTATTATACTGTAAAGTTCCATTCTCAGGCCATTTTTCCTGATCTTCTAGTTCATATTGCGTCCACCAGACATTACAATAATCAATTAGTTTACTTTTCCGCATACTTTGCCCAAATCCACCCTCCTTCCAATGGTTTAAGATGCAACCTAACGGAGACGACTTAGGAGTCAGCGGCATTTTGTAACTACAAAGAGATCTCTAAAACAAGTTTCTCTCACAACACGCACACACCCCCCGATACGTTACAGAATTTATACAGACAGATGCTGATCCTGCAGCACAAATACCAATACCAAACCACGTTTGCCGAACCTGCAGAGCTTTCGCTACTGTCTAATGGATGGCGCTGAGGCTTTTACCCCGAGAGCTCTCTAGCCCCAACCAAGCGCAGCTTTTGCCGCATCTAACAGGCAGGCTTTACTACTAGCCCAGCCAAACTCAGCTTTATCGCTGCGTATAACAGGCAGGCTTTTACCAGACCTTTACCAAAGGTCAGTACCATACATTTACTACAAAACGACCCGTAACCCAAATCCAAAGCACCTTTCTTACCATGTTAGAGGTCTGTTGTGAGCAGCGGAGGTCGGTCGTGGTTGATGGCTCCCCGAGAATCTCTCGGTGCCGGCTGGAGCAGGATCGAGACGCGATCCACCTCGGCAATGCCTGCGAGGTCCCATCTGGGTCGCCAAAATGTTAGCGTGGGAACAAACGCATAACCACCGGAATGGTTATATGAGGTGCTTTATTGCAGCACTGGTAAACCAGGGGTACGCACCCAAATCTGGTTCCAACCTCGTCACATTGCGTTTGCAATTTATACACATTTAGCAAGGATTACAACATTAGCTAATGCATATGCATTAAGGATTGCCACATCAGGAATGTTACAACATCAGCCTCTTCTACGCTTGCGCAGCCCCCTCTGGTGGTCGTCTGGTGGTTGTTCCGATGAAGTAAGGAGTCTTCCTCAGGTGAAGTAAGAAGTCTTCCTCAGGTTGTCCTCTTCACCTTTTCCTTATTTGGATATATCCCAACCCTTGTGTGGATGCTAGCATTTTCTTATCAGCTTCTGGTATGCTCTTCTGGCTACCTTATGCATAGGTTCTACTTGGGTATAGTCTCCAGTACATACCTTTCTAAATCCACCCATATGCATAGGTTTTTGCTACTAAGACTATCATTGCAACACTGGTTACAGAATAGCCGTGATACAAAATTGCAAAGTTACATTATTTTCTAATATACAAAACCCCACTATTGATTTATAAATTTCTCAAACATAATAATTTCTATTATTTTATATGATTGTTTTATCATAAAGGCTTTGCCCTTTTCCAACAGGGTGGCCTGGTATTTTAAAAAACATTAAGGAGATAACTAGTGGGCTTCCTTCTGTTCCAGGAATGCTGATACAACACGGGACACTAGTATAGTAATTTTTGTCCCAAGGTAAATATGTGGGCCTCTTCAATATTCATGACAACTGCTGCCACAGCTCTTAGGCATCCGGGCCATCCTTTGCTCGCTTCATTCAGCTGTTTTGAAAAACGCACCACTGCCCTCTTACAGGGTCCTAGTTTCTGAGTAAGGACCACCAAAGCTATTCCCTGTTCTTCATAGGAATATAGCCAAAAGGGTTTAGTCACATCCAGAAGTCACAGAGCTGCAGCTCTCGTTAGCTCTGCTTTTAAATTTCTATAAGCCCTCCTCTGCTGAATCAGTCCATTCCAAAGAGAGAGGGGTTTCTTTTAACAGTTCATATGGGATATTACCAGAACACCATAATCATGCATCCGAAGTCTGCATCATCCAGTCGCTCCCAGGAACTTCTGGAGCTCCTTGATGGTTGACAGTCATGGAGTTTGACAAATGGCTTCCAAATAGCAGTTCCAAGTTTTCTTTGTCATCCTAGGTAGGAAACTCGGGTTTGGATTAGTTGGGCCTTTTGTCTGGTTACCCGATACCCATTCAGTCCCAGAAAATTCAATAATCCCACCATTCTCTGGACACATTCTTCCTTTGTTTCTGTGGCAATTAATAGGTCATCCACATACTGTAACAGAGTCCCTGCCTGAGTGGGTGGTTTCCATGATCCTGGTTCCAGTGCTAACTAATTTCTAAAAATTGTTGGACTGTTTTAAACCCTTTAGGTAATACTGTCCAAGTTAATTGGGTTTTCCTTACTGTGTCAGGATGTTCCCATTCGAAAGCAAATGAATTCTGACTTTCTTTGGCCAATGGTAAGCAAAAGAAAGTGTCCTTTAAATCCAAGACGGCAAACCATTTCTGATTCAAT